GTTTGGAGAAATGAACACTTTAACCCCCACTGAGTCATCTGAATCGAGGTTCAAATGCTTTCGGCGCTTTTGATGATCGTCTTTCAATTTTGTCTAATTCTTTACCCCCCCTTCACTGAGTATTTCCTCCGTGCACCCTGACGCCTGGAGCTCTCGGCTGCCGCTCATGCTCGAGGGGATTTAAACTGTTGTTGTGGTTCCGCGCTGTCCTCGGTGTGATGTGAGCAGTTGTCGCATATCTTTGCACCCTTTGAGGGATTGCCACGCGACCCAGCAGCAGGCAGACATCCTCTGATCTGATCTGTTTCTGGGCTGAGCTAAGTTTACCGGCCTGCAGAGAGGAGCGAGAGGGTTTCGGGGCGAGGCGCAGAAACGGAGGTCTCAACTGCTGCTGTATCGACTGTGGCCTCAATGCTCTGGTCAGTGTATTATTAGGCCTGGCATGAGACTAAAGTCAGCTCACACTGCATAATTCAACTTAGTGTCTGGCTTAACCTCAGTTAATGTAGCACTACTGTTGATTTGTATGCGCCCTTCAAGAAGTAAACGGTGTCAAACTTCAGGAGAGTTGATGGAACACATGAAGATGTTTATCGATTTCAGATGTTCACAAAATCCAGTATAAATGTTCAATGTAAAACTTGGTTTAAACTTGGTTGAATATTTATACAATAAGTTGGACAGGTCAGTTGACCTTTGCCACATGGCCATTATTTAGTATTTAGTTAACCAAGATGGTGTGATTCATGACTAATGCCAGATGTTCAACTAACACTAACATTACATTACGCGCTCATTACAGTCCATTGCTCCTGATGTACCTGCTTTCTAGGTGGAACCTTCAATTTATCATTTCCTCACATGCTTGGCTGTGATAAAGACATATAAACCTAATAATGTGTAGGTGTCTGAGTCCATCACTGAGTCTGCCACTTTTAGATACACATTACATATTTCTGGTCACAATGGAAATGATTGAAATTGTTAAAATCAATTTTCACTTTTACTTCTACTGTTTTCTTTACGCCCATAATTGTTAGAAATGAAAACCCCCACAAATTTAATAGAATAATCTCATATTTGTACACACGTGATGTTTAATTTCAGTAGAAGATGACAGTATATTGTGTAGTACTATAGGATGGTAGGGAGCTATACTGAATGCTTTTTCCAAATGTTTATGATATTTGAAATATGTTTTATTTCTAGCCGGTCAAATTACGATATATTTTAGAAGAGCCACAATCCAGTATAATACGCTGCAACTTATACCCCACCCAGTCACATGGCTTTTGTTGCAATTCCTGTATCTTTTTCCAAATCCACGGACTCAGTGATCTGGTTGATGTTGCCCGATTCACCTTGCAAAGGGTGTTCAAGTTTTCTTTCTTTCAATCTAACGATGCCTATAGTAATATGCCTTCTTTGTTAACTCAGTGTGGTGACAAGATGAGATCGTTTTGGGGGGGTTGACGAGAGTGGAACGTGAATAGAGAGGGGAACATAACCACTGCGTTGCCACGGTAACTCAGAACATGATACTGCTGTGAGAGTTGGTAAACTAGGTGACTGGTTAGCAGTGGCATAACAGAAGAAGAGCCCCAAGTGATTACCTGTAGCCTCTAACTATTTTCAGTTCCGTTACTACATAAATGGGTGTAAGAAATTACTTCAATCATGCCAATTACAAAAAAAAGTCAGAGCCATACCAAATTGTGTCAATTGTCGATTTCTCGGCCTTCGATCCTGCGACACAATACATCTGTTTTAACTGTTGACCAAAGCAAACCGCATTAGGATATGAGAACGAGAGTGACACCCATCACAAAATGTAAAAGTATTCATGCTTAAAGATCGCTGTCTTCAGTTAGCCTTGCTGGAGCAAATGGTCGAATGCCACAGAGAGCTCTGCATGATGGGATATTCTGAATGTGTTACATTGCAAGAGCTTTATCTGAGCAGCCGTACCAGAGCGCCCCTGAGATTCTGGAGAAGGGGCGGAGCTTTTTTACCTTTCAGCCGTAGGCGCTATGTGTTGAGGATTAAAACCACTATTTCAAGACGACAGTACGAGATGCAAACTGCTGGTCTTCATCTTTTTAGCGACTGCGGCATCTGCACTGACTTCTCTTTCCCGGAAAAGATTCGCTTACCCAGGACCTGACAGTCATCTTTGGGAACTCCGTACTAACGCCCACTTCGACTGCTAAGAACCTCGGCGTCACACTCGACAGCCAACTCTCCCTGACTCCCAACATCACCGCGACAACGCGATCCTGTAGATACACGCTCTACAACATCAGGAGAATACGTCCCCTTCTCACTCAGAAGGCAGCGCAGGTACTGATTCATCTCCCGCCTGGACTACTGCAACTCCCTCCTGGCTGGTCTCCCTGCCACCGCCATTCGACCTCTGCAGCTCATTCAGAATGCAGCAGCTTGACTGGTCTTCAACCTTCCTAAGTTCTCCCTCACTCCTCCACTCCTCCGCTCTCTTCACTGGCTACCGGTGGCCGCCCGCATCCAGTTCTAAACATTGGTGCTCACGTACCATGCTGTGAATGGATTGGGTCCAGCTTACATCCAGGACATGGTCAAACCCTACATCCCAACCCGCACTCTCCGCTCTGCATCTGCAAAACTACTCGTCCCTCCCTCACTGAGAGCAAAACACTCGACTAGGTCTCGACTCTTCGCTGTCCTTGCGCCGAAATGGTGGAACGAGCTCTCTGAAGACATCAGGACCACAGAGAGCCTTCACATCTTCCACCGCAAACTAAAGACACACCTCTTCAGACTCTACCTCGACTAAAGACTAACAAATTGTAGCACTTAAATTGTACTTGTAACGTCACTCATCTATAGCAAATTGTAAATTGGCTTAATTGAGGAAATTGCACTTTCTTGTTTCTTGTTCTCCTGAGTTTGTACCCTATGGTTGAATGCACTTATTGTACGTCGCTTTGGATAAAAGCGTCAGCTAAATGACATGTAATGTAATGTCATGCCCAGGAAACGGCGTTGGTAAAACTGTCTCATGTCCTGTGATTTCCTATTTTATTTTGAAAATGTACCTCCCTCTCATATGAGGCAACTTGCCTTTTCCTCCTGTGTCCTTGTCTGATTGTCTGCCCTGCACCTGATTGTTTCCACCTGTGCCCCTATCCTATGTGTATATTGTCGTCTCCCTTTGTCCTGTGCCAGTTCGTCTTGTCTCAAACTTTTGATTTCTTTTGAACTTTGCCTGCGAGTCGTGTATTTGGGTTCAGGGCCATTGTCCAGTCGTGACAGAAATGGCTTTTTGTTCTTTCAGAGGACTGATGTCAAGGTCAATCCCTCGTCCCTCAGTAGGCTAGAGTCATTGTATTCTTTCCCTTTTCTCATTTACAGTGATTTGATCTGTTTGCAACAGTGAGAGCGAGTGGCTTGTTGGGAAAGTAGAATGATAGTCTCTGTGCTGCAGCAACAATATTTCAAGGCTGTTGTCCCCTGCGGTCACAAGGGGTTCAGTCAATTTCTGTTAGCAGAGGTCAGATCCAACTGGAGTGGTGTTTATATTCTGGGGAATCCTCCTTCCTCAGGCCTCACCCAATGAATAGCGTCTCACACACTGGAAATCACACAGACTTGTCCGAGTACAGTCTGCATTCCAGCTAAACCTACAACACTCGCTATGTGAGGGATGCTGTGTGCTCGTTTTAACACGAGAGAGAGACGGAGAGAGCAGTTGGATTGATTTTTCAGTTCCACTGTAACCCTTATTAGGGTCTTTGCTGCACATACAGTAGTTCTTTATTTCCTCCTGTTGTCTGTGTGTTGTGAGTGAGATGACATTGTTTCTATTCTAAAGATCTTATGGGCACATCTCATAAAAAAGCCATGTAGCACATTTCAACGTAAGGATGAAAAAGGTATTGATTGAAACAAAAACAAGCTTAAAAAAAGACTTTAGTGTAGTTTATGAAATGAACAGTAAAAAGCATCCACTTCATCCTTGAATCTGGTGCAATTAAATGAATGGTTTGAACCTTACACAACCACCTGGGGATGGATATGGGCTGGCGAGTGTGCCTCCATGTGGGCTGCCCAGGTGGGGCCCAGTTAATTTTTTCCGGGGGTTCCATGGTTGCCCCGTGTGGGCAAGCGCAGATGGGCTTAAGGTGGGCTTTACATGGGCACTAGCTAAAACCCACATGGGCAACCCAGGTTTCTCCCATCTGGGGCCCACACTAGCCCACACTAGCTGGGCCCCATGTGGGCTGATTATGAGTCCCTGCTATTCTACCCAGCCTAAAAAATTCATTTTTGGGGCTTATTTTACAGTCAGCCCAGTCAGTTAATATTGTTGAACTATTTTTGTTACACAGCCAATATTCCCGAGTCTGGTGGACCCACCACATTATTAGGCTTTTAAATCAGTACAGCCCTAACAATTTATGTAAAAATACGTAACAGATGTTTACTTTAGCTCAATATTACCAATGGTATAAACATCATTTATGGTTCTTATTCGCCATTTACCCCGGTGAGATCACAATTATGATCATAGTTAATAATAATAGTTTTTTTGGTGAGAAAACAGGTAAATTAAATGATAAAAAAATCTAACCACGGACTTTTGATCATTATTGGTGCTCATTTCTTAGAACTTAATCAGAACAGGTGAAAGTGCTTGAAATGTAACAATTTTTTAACTTTGTGTGGGAATAGCAGTTGCACACAGACAAGACACACACACAGCTGGCCCAGTTAGGAGGACACAGTTACGTTTCATGGCACCTACAATTATTATTCTCGGGTTCAGTAGAGCCGAACACCACATATGTAATAGTTATGTGTAGGAGGGTGTACCAAGTTGAAAATAAGCAATTGTTTTATGTTCTTCAAAGAAAATGAGCCATGGCCAATGATTTTGAGTTAAAAGAAATAATAAATAGCATAAGTTTTTCTTTTAGCAAACATTGAAAACGGGTCCCACAACAAACTACAATAACAAAGAGTTATAGACCAGTGATACAATTAATCACGTTTTTTTAATCACATGCTTTTGCAATGTTCCCTTACTGTCACAGACAGAATTAGCTTCTTTCCACCTCTAAGGAGCCTGAAGCCTGAAGTCCTTGTTGAGGGGTTGCCAGTCAGGCCTGTCGATTACCCCCCCGGTCCCTAGCACCAATGAGCCACTTGGAGACGGCCTTCTCGGCATCTTTACGGGTGATTTGGCTGGTCATGCCGTTTTTCTTTAAGCCTCCTTCAAGAAACAAATATAGCAGTCACTTACTTCATATGTGCAAACACAACTCTCAGCTAAGACTGTAAAGACAGAAATAGTTCACCAGACCGTTTCTGGTACCATTGACTTCCATAGTATTTTTTTCCCTACTATGGAAGTCAATGGGACTCAGAAACTGTCTGGTTACTGACATTCTTCTAAATATCTTCCTTTCTGTTCAGAAGAAGAAAGAAATTCATACAGGTTTGAAACAACATGAGGGTGAGTTTATGATGACAGAATTTTCATTTTAAAGTGAACTATTCCTTTAAGAAAAGCGCTATATAAATTAAGATTATTATTAGAAATACACACATTCTCTTAAACACACGCTAAGCATCTGAGAGACATGTGCGAACACACTGCTTAGCGAGGACAACAAACGCTCCATTAACAATATTTAAAATCGACATGTTTATTATGTTAGGCTATTGTGACACCTTTCTTTTATCAGTACAACTTAAAACATGATCCACATGAACACCTACCATATATCACTTCATACAGTTTTAAGGCCTTGAACTCTCTCTTCCCATTTCGGCCCACAAAGTTATACTGCCTGGATAGGCCATGATCTAGGAGAAAGGTCATCATCCTTTTTGTGGCCTCGTCAACAGTCCCCCCCCCCCTATGTCAGTCACAGCTGCAACCTGAGGGGGAACAAAGGCAATACAAAGCAAATTTATCTAGAGTATATTGCTCACTGGAGCAAACCACTCAACATGAAATAACTGCCAGAAGCATGGGTGTGAGATAGGGGTGGAACCGTACATGTATTTGTATTGAACCAAAATGGTACAGATTTTACAGAGAATATACGGTATAAAAAAAAATAAAACTTGCGTGCAAATTAATGTAATGCGGAACATTGTGCTTCTGTCAAACTATGAACTCAAACTGTAACCTACAACTGTCACTCAACCAAAATCCTCTCATACACACACACGGTTTAAAACCGTTTAGGTTTAGCCTGAGACATGCAAAATAAAAATAACAGCTTTTCTTTTTTTTTGCTTTTCCCTCCATTGTACCGAACCATGATGTCTGAGCCAAAGTATAAACCGAACCATGACTTCTGTGTCCGTTCCACCCCTAGTGTGAGCCCACCTGGGGAGTTTCAGATCAAATTCACTGCAAGCCCACCAATAACAATTTAATTGAGTTGCACTACCCTAGACTTAACATACATACCAGTTCGGACATGAAGTTTGGGTTTGACAGTTTTTCTTCCATGATTTCCACATCCCTAACTGTCTTTAAGGGCAAACCCTCTGGGGTAGAAGAGACGGTGGTGCTCATGTTGCCACGCTGTTGTAGAAGCGTTTGTAGCATCCTCCCCTGGATTCTTTGTGTCTCTTTTATCTCCTCAAGCAGCGTTAAGATGCGAACAAACATGTTTTCCCTGATTTGCCTTCGAGGGGTTTCTGGTGACGTGATGATGGGTTGAAACATGGGGCCATCTAAGGTTACCCACAGGTGGTGGAAGTGTCGGCCTAGCAGATGGAGGTGAAGACCTGAGGGTGGATGGAGGTGGTGCAGGTGTCTGCACAGACCTCAGGGTGGGTGGAGGCAGTGGAAGTGGAAGCACAGATCTGAGGGAGGATGGAGCCGGTGCACTGTACAAAAATCCACACTGTGAGAATTTTGTACAACAAAAAAAACACAAAAAATACTATCCATCCAATCAAAGGAAACAATCATCACCAAAAAGGTTAAAAAAAATTACAGTGTGGAGGTGATTACCTGAGGGTGGATGGAGGTGTAGGCCTGATTTAGCTGGCGGACCAATTGTCATCATCCTCATCCTCACTGGACAAAATCACTCGCCTAGAAATGTATAATGTACAAGCACAATCAACGAGTTAAAGCATTTTAAAAACAGTTGGTTAAAAAAAAAAAACATTGTGGACAACAGGTGATACCACTATACACAGGGTTTTTACACATTTCAACCAGAGAATTTCAATTACTGATCTATATAGTATGACAACATTCTGGGTACAAAAGAGAGGCTCACATGGATCCTTAACATCTGTTCCAACACCCCATTCCCCCATCAGGCATGCACACATCCATTTGTATACATCTCTTTTTCCCCCTAAACATGTGATTGTTACTTTTATTAATTGATTACATTTAGTTTTATTTATTGGTTAATTGTATCTGTTGTCTACCTCCCTCGTTCTGACAGCTTTGAGCTGAATACACTTAACAAAACTCCCACAAAACTTGTCCTTTCTTATTCATTGGGAAATTCGAATTTTCATCATCCATTTAGTAGTAGTAATTCAAATAGCCTCACCTCTTTTTGCGCTTCCCCCTTCCCGTCTTCTCTGTAGAATCGGACTCGGTTGGTACATCTGTGTTCTCTTCATACTCGACTAATTTTGTGCGGGCAATTTCATATGTTGCTTTAGGAAACAAAGCAACATAGGAACAAATGAGTGACAAATGATATGAACAAATGAGTGGCAATTAGTTTCATTCAGTTAATTTAAACCGAATCAACAGTGAACTCATCATTTCAGATAATCTCATACAAATGGACACCTTACTGACTTTTCTTTTGACAGTCAACTTGTATGTCTCCCAGTCAGTGTGAGGGTCCTGTTGCTCTATGACCGCCTTTGCCATGTTCATTCTTGGTGGTGGCCAGTAGCATTCATCCTCCTCAGGCCCGATAAACCATTTGGTAGGTATAACTGCCAATCCTCCATTATTCATAAAGTCTACTATTGCAAAAGGGAACATGCTTAAAGAAAAAAAAATACATACAAAAAAAAATAAAAAATTAGTGCAGGAGTGGCAATGCCACATATCCAGTCTTGAGTGGCAATAACACAATTTTTTTTTTAACTCCTCCACAGGTAACAGCTGCAAGTCTTCAGATAAATTAAAACAAAAAGAATTCCAAGGCATGATGAGTCCATTGGATAGGTGAAAAAGGATTTGGCAGTTTCAAAGAAATTACACAGGACTTTAACAGTTCCAGAATGGGACAAAATGTTGCGCATAATAAGAATCCTTCCCCCTACAGAAAAATAGTCATCGCCACGAGAGGAGAAGATCAGTGTCTGGCCATCATTGTAACGCCTGTGTTGTTCCCATGTTGCAATTGAATTAATCAACGGTCCTGAAAAAGTACAGTTTAAGTGGGCTGAAAACGGATGTGGTCTTTTGGCTTGCCACTTTCTGCTTCTTATGGATCCGCCTGACGAGTAGTTCGACAGGATTTTGAGGCCGACGGACAAGTTTTTTCAGCTAACCTAAAAAGGTCTCAAAGGGAAAAGCTGAAACACTATCTAACGGGCCGAATTTTCGTGCATCTTGAGCTAGGTGGATCAATGAATGCATGTTATAGCTGACAAATTCAGTGCCATAAATTGCAGCAAAATATGTTACAAAGAGTTTCAAAATCTCCTCAGCATAGTCACAATTGTCAGGAGAACATAAGGCAGGACTCTGATAGAGCCTTTTTACTTCTATCGGTATTATGAAATAAGTCTCTGGAAATGAAAAACGGCATTATGAAATAAAAGACTCTGGAAATGAAAAGTGGCATTATGAAATAAAAGACTCTGGAAATGAAAAGTGGCATTATGAAATAAAAGTACCATGAAATGAAAAGTGGCATTATGAAATAAAAGTACCATGAAATAATTAAATGTATTTAATATTTATGTATTTATTGCATTATGAAATAAAAGTACCATGAAATAATTAAATGTATTTAATAATTATGTATTTATTGCGTCATTCATTTATTTCATGATGTATTTCAAATGCCTATTTCATGTATTTACGTATTTATTCATTTATATAATTTTGACTAAAAGGCATCCCTTCCGCGGCCAGGGCCCTCTTTCTCTCTCTCTCTGCTTCGCCTAGCGGTCATTCACCAATCAAAATAAGGCTTCGGGGACCGCGAAAAAATGCAGGAAAACCGCTGTATCAGTCGGCCTATGTAGCTGAGGTGCATATGGCAATATGGAAAACACAGTCATCAATCCACAATATTAAATGACAGCGTCGTTGGAACAAATGGCGAAGGGTTTTCCAACCGTCCCGTATTACCCGGGACATCACGAATTATGGGCAATTTTGATTTGTCCCGTCCGGGACAGCTCCAGTCCCGTTTTCCAATCACAGCCTCCTAAGTCAATGACGCGCAAAAAAATCCCGGTTGTGGTGACGCATCCGACCAGTGTGTGCGCGGAGTCGACCGCTAGCAACCCGCGAAAGTGTCCCTGGTTTGGGGTTGGGAGAGTTGGCAACCCTAAACGACGCATTAAACAACATGTTGCCTTAATGTAACAGACACATAAACATATTTATGTAGAGGAGTCCCTTATTACTATGGAAAACCCTTCGCTATTTGTTCCATTTAAGAGGTGAATTTGTAGTACAGCAGTTAAACTCCGCTTCTCTGCGTGCTCCCGCAGCCAGAATGCAAATCCTGGCGGGAATAAGTGCCTTCGCACGACACCCTAGCCGATAAAAAATTGCTGACATTCAAATGGACTTTCATCTGTGTTTTTGCTTTAACTGTAAATGCCACAAGTGCAAACATTAAAATGCCACCAGCTGGTAAAAGCGGATAATGGGCATTTTTTTTAACAGCTTGCCTGTTAGACTGCCTTGCTAAGTTCACAACCAAATCCTTCTAAACAGTATATTCAAGTCAACCACTCAAATAAAGCTCAACATATGCATGGCATTGACTTAATAAATTAAACTCGTCTGTTCAATGCCATGCTTTAACCAGGTTTAATTAACGTTACAGAAAGATAACGTTACATTCGCTAAAGCTAGTTCCTGGCATCTTAACTAAAAAAAGCTTTTGTTAACATTCACCATACGGTAATATCATCGTACATTGAGGCAGATTCTCTTACCTGTCTTTTATCCACACGACACCGTAATGGATTCTTAACGGACAGCAGACTCAAAGGCGGAAAAGTTGTTGCTAGGCAAACTTCCTTCGCTCGGTGATGGGGGCGGAGCTTTCCGGATGTGCGCTGCACAGAGTGCGCACTGCTTTCTTTAGGGTTTGAACATTTTGTGGGAAACCTGCTGTGGCAAACTTGTCTGTTGAAAGTCGTAGTGCTTAAGACCACTATTAAATTGCTATGGCTTCTAAATAGCTTAATAGTCTAATCAAATTTGTGTAAAATGTGGACCTAGCCCAGTGGCTATTGTTAAAAATAGCATCCATGTCTGACATTATCAATTTTGAATAATTATATATGAAAACATAATATATAAAAATAATATATAAGTATTAATATCTATCTATCAAAAACTAAAAATGCAAAAACTACAGAAATTTGAAATATAATATATTATATTATATAATAGTATAAAAACTATATATTTATATCTATTTCTATTATATAGAAAACATCTCCTAATATCTTCTAAAGGAGTGGAGCCCAGCTGGAGCCCACTTTGTTTAGCCCATCTACTTCCCATGTGGGGCCCAACAACAAAGCCCACTCTGAGCCCATGCCCAGCCGAAGCCCAACTAGCCCAAGTGAGCCCCATGTGGGCCCCAAGTGGACGTGTTTGCAGGGAATGTATGTAACGAGTTTGTCTCCGAATCCAACATGGAGTACATTCAAAATGTGTAAAACCTCCAAGCTGCATAGAGACGGGTATCTCAGCGTTTAAGTGGTTAACAGCCAAGCACTGGGAATAGGCGACCATTACGTCCGTCCCAATATGGGTGGACTCTGGCTCCCAGATGTGCTCGAAGCATTGGCATATTCACGCAGCAATTTTTGACAAATTGGTTGTGATGGCTATGTTTAAATATAATGACTGTTCTAACAACTATTCAGATCCACTGACAGCTCTTGCGTGAAATCTCAGATGACCTTTTGCAGAGGTTGAATAGCAGCGTGCGCTTTGAGCACTGGTAAGCAATCACTTGTCACGCAATCGAATTACCACAAAGAAAAGACCTTGAGTGGGCTCGCATGCACTTCATACACACTCCCACGCACACACACACAGCCCCCGGAAGGATAAGCCACATTATAGTATGCATCATATTATATCCATTCTGACAACAAACCCCAGTGATCATACGCAATTAAGAGCACTTGATCTGATTATTTCATTGCTCTGCCTCTAACCACTGAGAGGCTTTTACCGTTACCAGTTCATAAATATTGAATTTGGATTTGTGCACTCTCTGAAAAGAGCTCAGCGCTGACGGAGAGAATGCGGCTATACGAGGAGCACCTCCCTTTTCTCCGTCCACTCCTCTCCCACCCTTGCACAGAGGCAGCCCATGATGTAATGTTCCTGCTGCTGATAAAGCAACCCCCTCTCCTGCTTTTTTTTAAACATTTCATTCCCCTCCCCTTCCGATTTTCTGCTGCTGCTGCTCTCGCTGGTGGTGGTTGTGGCTGTGGATGTGTGCATGCTTGCGGTGCCGGTTCAGCTGCATCTCTCGGGATCCCTGCAGAGCTTCTCCTCCTCTGTCACCAGCCGACACAGAGCCGCTCCTGCAGAGGTAATCTTTCTAGGTCGTGACAAATGGAGTGTATTGTAGAAAAGAAAAAGAAAGGAGGAGGGAAGTAGAGAAAAGGAGAGTGAATTATGGAGTGATAGGCAGAGGTTTTGACTGAGTGTCCAGTCAGCTGCTGAGTGAATTGGTCTGGTCGCAGAAAGCTTCTTGTCGCCACGGAGCTGGATGCCATGGTAATTGCTCCCTGCGTGTGTGCATGTGCTGTAGTATGATGTTGGTTTCCATGGTAAAGATGACACGGATCCCATGCTGGCTCACATTTTGGCGTGAAGTGGTTTCTCATCTCCTTTGGATCCTTTATCAGAAATGACTTGAAGCTTTATTATTATGTTACTGTTATTCCTTTTAAATATCACAGGGATGTTATAGTTGTTTGGTTACTGCTTACTTCTTCTGAACATACGTCTCACTTTGATTTGTCTGCTCGACAAAAACTGGCCGTGTGCAATGACATTCATGTAGCGAGATGAAGGATGCGGTGACTGTCATCTGAATGCAGATTTTCGAGTGCTACAGAAACGTAACAATGATTTACAGTGCGTTACGCAGATGCTTTACCAAACACTTTTGCTTTTTCGTCATTGTCCGTCAACAGGATGCATAGTTCTGGCAAAGGACCAGAGATGGTTGGTTGTATATATAAAGTAGTGGATTTTTCAGGAGTTGTTGAACCTTAAATCTTGCACTGTATGAGATGCTAACTTAATATTTCATGTCTCGTCTGCCCCACATGTAGATGGCCTTATGACTAATTTAAACTCAGGATTTTCCCTGTGTTTAGTAGCTACCTCTTTGTCTAATGCCATTCGTTCATCTCACCGGGCCGTAGACGTATAACATTTAGCCTCTGTTGTAATCATCTAGATGGACTAATAACTCTCCAGATCACAATTTCATTAGGGATCCAGATGTATTCTTGAGAAGTGACCCAGCTTGGATTAAGTCTAGAGAAACCATGTGGTTCTTTTGGGGTCATTTTATGATTTCCCAATAGGGAAGGGGTCATGTTTACAGTAAAGGTAATTGGTTTTTGAGACTCAGCAGAGGCAGCATCCCAGACTAATGACTACTCAATAAATAATTCAACTTCAACTCCAATTTCTGAATGAAGGAATAAGAAGTGATCGCTGTCACGTCACCCATTTGTTTGTGTGCTGCCATTTTGATGGCTCGAGTTCTGTATTTCTGCCGTGGCCATCAAGCCTTTACGCGACCAGAAAAGACGACAGTTCCCCAGAGATGTGTAACATGAAACTGTTTTAAGATGAAAACTGAAGACTCCAAGACTGGACAATGGCAAAGTAACAACCTTTTTCCACTAGGCAGCTACACCCTAAGGAAACTCATCTATCTTACTCAGAATGGAACCATAAGTTACCAGACGAACAGCATACTGTATTGAAGAAGACTGCAAACTAGTCATTGAAACCGTAAACTCACAGTTTGACTTAAAAATCATGTCATTTTCTCATGCTTGCAACAAGTTGCCCCCTGATGGCTATTTGACAGAATGCACGTCGAGGGCACTTGCACACATGGCTTTACTTTGCAGAGCAGGAGGGGGTCTTAATCGCATTTGCTTCCTTGTCGGCACTTTGCAGATCAGCCCTCAATGTCACTACGCTTTCCTAACATGATACTCGCTGTCACTCGATGCGTTGAACAAATAGTGCCATCCAAATCAAATACTCGATTACTCATGCCCCTCCCAACTTGAGGATACTTTTTGTGAAGTTTCCCTGTTGAAATGTTGTGCAGATGGATATTTGACACAGTAACATAATCTCTTTCTCATTGATGCATTACACTTCTAGTCCGAGAGATAGAAATAGAGATAGAGGAAGGGGGTTAAATGTAACAGAGACAGCAGGATAGCGGACTAAAAGCTTCCTGTGGCAGTACAGAGTGTAAGCCAGACATGGCAGACAGGCTGGCAGGGCAGATGTTTTAGGGGAGAGGCACAGTAGATAGAACAGTGTGAATAATTCATTACATGGGATT